TTGTATATATACACAATGTAATCAATAGTCAACATCAAAATCACAACAATACATGTTTCTAAATAACAACAAATAGCCTCAGGCACTTTTCATTCAATTAACTTCTTCACTTCTCTAACTTAATAGCACGCATAGAGATGAAACTTGGTACGTATGCTTATTGTAAAATATCCATGATGATTACATGTTTCCATGATGACTGCATAATTATTGTTTGAAAAGGCCTCAGGCAATTTTCTGTAAATTACTTCTTCACTCCTCAGACTTGCTAATTGTAGCACGCATGATGGTGAAACTTGGTGCGCATGTGTGTAACATCGTTTCCATGACGACCACAACAACAAATAGCCTCAAGCACTTTTCACTTCTCAAACCTTCTAATGGTAGAGATGAAACTTGGTATGTATGCCTATTATATCATTTCCATGATGAGTACATGTTTCCATGACGACCGCATATTGTTCGAAAAAGCCTCAGGCAATTTTCTGTAAATTACTTGTTCACTCCTCAGACTCGCTAATTGTAGCAGCATGGAGGTGAAACTTGGTGTGCATGTGTGTAACATCGTTTCCATGACGACCACAACAACAAATAGCCTCAGGCACTTTACTTTTAAAATACTTCTTCACTCCTCAAACTCGCTAACTGCATCACACATGGAGATGAAACGTCGTATTATTTCCATGACAACAACAGGAATTTTTTCTCTATTGTTATTACCCCATTCCACAGAGATGATACGTAGTAGTATGACTGGAGACAAGTAAATTAAAAATCCTGCGAATTTAAAAAAAGAAGCATATAGGGATGGTATAAAAAGAAAGGGAGACAAGATATGGATGGTGTTTGTGGAAGCACAGAGATGCTAGTGAGGAGTTAAGGACTCCCACAAGTCATTACAACATCCCTATATCGTCGTATCGGTGCATGACCACGGAGTAAAATCTTCCTCGCATAAGTATCAGCAACCGTGCATACTTGAATTTAATTTTCTCGTATTATATCTTTTCCATGTAATGTTATGCATGTACATTGTTACGACAGTACACATACTCTTTCATAATCTTCACTCCCACCGTACAACGATATAGGGATGTTGTAATGACCTGTGGGAGTCCTTAACTCCTCGCTAGCATCTCTGTGCTTCCACAAACACCGTCCATATATTGTCTCCCTTTCTTTTTATACCATCCCTATATGCTTCTTTTTTTAAATTCGCAGGATTTTTAATTTACTTGTTATCTATAGATAATAGCCGCTTATATCTTACTGTATCTATCTGCTACAGCAAATAGCTATAGGTAATAGCCGCTTTTTTGGTATAGCACGCTATAAATGCCAGAGCTGAGTGGCACTTACCGCATGTGTTGCTTTTTTACTGCGCCAACCTGTGAGCATGCGCGTTTTGACTTGTCTGTGAGGATGCGTTGTATATGGATATACACATGGACCATGTAGGTCCTGCTAGAGATCAGTGAATCGAAAAAGGTCCTAACGGTAACGGAGGAAACTCTTGTTCGTGTAGTGGAAGAAGAACTGACCGTATTAGGCGACGCTGCACTCCTTCCATTTAATTTTTCCTCCTGCGACGTTCCTGGTGCATCGAAGCAATTTTATATTTTGCAGCGATGGTCCGAAAAGTGGTGTTCTTTTGTAAACGAGCAGAAGTCCTTGCAGGAGACCGTCTAACCGTCGTACCGTGCCCAAAAGCATCAACTACCAAGTCAAGTGTAAGTTCTCGCAAAGATAGTCAAGACATGTCTATAATTGCACGGGGCTCTTCAAACACATGTCCAAAGTAACTTTCGTAACGTAGTACATAGCACCAGGCTGTGTAGAATAGGTGTGGCGGTATAACTCCTTTGTTTGTGTAGGTGGACAAAAATCAAGTGCTTTATGCAAAGCGGCTGCAAAACCCAGTTCTGCCAATGCCAGAGTTCTCAGCCAACTGTTTCCCTCTTCGTCATCACGCCCAATGAAACGACCATCATCTAAAGCCTTTGATCCCTCAGAGCGTAGCTTTGTACCAGAAAAAGGCTTTTACGAGTAATGTTCAAGTTGTAATGGTGTCTGATCCCTCTGTTCTTCCACGAGGAAAGCCCCGAAAAATGCTAGAACATGACGAAAGATACAGTTTCGGAGGGAGATGTCGAGTTGTGAAGTTAAAAATTCAGTGTTGCGACGCTTCAAGCATTGTTGGCTTCACTCTTCTCGAAGCCGATCAGGGTGGGAAGCTTCATCCGTCTGAGAACCAAGCACCCAATGGGGAGTACGTCATTGTTGATGCTAGAAGAAAGAATGGACCAATCTATATTCACCCTATTTTGGTAAGCAATACTTATGTCGACTTATAGGTAGGCAACATAAGAAGGCACGCTTTAAATATGCTGTGTGTGCAAGAGCGAGCTAACGAACCAAAATGCTCTGCTCGCAACTTGAGTGAGCCATTTGTATGTTTTGCAGCGTGGCCCTATAAACAATTATGCATGCGCACACGTCCAAATATGGACGTGGCCCCCCAAAACATAGGTGTGTCCTGCTATGTAGTTTGGAGGTACATGTGTATATTCTGCTGAATTCGGGTTTTGGCTCGGTACTGGCAACGCCTTGTGTGGATGAATCTCATTAGTTCAGAACCACAAGCGCTGCGCCTGAGCAAAGCCTTGTGGGGATGAATCTCATTAGTTCATAACCACAAGTGCTGCGCTCAACTTTGCCTTTATAAACTCGTGATGCCAGGTTGCGCGGTATGCTTTGCTGATGAGGGCCAACAAGCCCGAAACAGCTGTCCAGAGCTCTGCGTCTTTTTTCTCTTGGCATCACATGGTCGATTGTTACATGTGTATTTATGTATGTACATATGTAAGTATGTACATAGATACATACGCTGTCACCCTTATGCCCATGCTTCAGGTACACTCATAGGCATGTGTGGCACAAACTGATTGGTCCTTTACTTACACACCTACAAGTTCACGCTGCACAAGTGTTCGACGCTTTGCTAACAAATCTGCCCAGCTAGCCTACCAGCCCCGTCCTCCCACCATGCTGGGACTCACACAGATATAGACCTAGATTGGCCTATAATATACCTCCAAACGTACGCACGTATGGGTAATAGTGTGTTCTGTAGCCAGTATGTTAGGTGTACGGACTCTATCTAACATGTAGATAGACGGATAAAACGTGCATATGTTATTTTTGTGCTGCTGTGTTCCTATGGATTATTTTTGTAACCTTTTATACCTCTTATATGGTTTATTTTATATGTCGCAGATTATTTTTGATACCATTTGATAACTTTTATACCGCCTGTACAGTCTGTTGTACTCATTTCACCACCTTCGTGCATCAGCTCGCGTGTTTTGCTAGTCCCAAGTAAGCCCTGTATGTTAATTGTAGCCCTTTTGAAGTCCTGTTTTCTTTCTCTTTTTCTTTCTTTCTTTCTTTTTATGTATATAGTGTGAGCTGTTCAGTTTTCATGCACATGGGCTGTTAGATGATTCCCGGTGTGACTCTTAGTCACACCCATTTGCCCATAAAGCTACAATTGTTTTTTATAGGTTGGGCCAAGTGGAGTTGAGACTCAGCAAGGAGATGCGCAAATGTAAGCATATTGATTGTATAATGCATAGTTTGAGGCTATTCACGTCAATTTTTCTGACCAAACTACATCTGTAGGAGTTAGTGGTTCAATTGCTGTTAAGATTGCATGCTGAAGCACGTCAAAAACTGGCTGTCATTATCTAGTCTATAATTGGCGAGCGGGAGTGAGCCAAACTGGACGTTGCAACCTGGAATTTGTGTATATAGGACGGCGATGTTGCACACACCATAATAGGAATGAAATTCACAATCAGCTATATAGCATAGGCATATGCCGCATGGTCGATCGATCGCTGCCTATGTATTGCCAGCTGCCTGGAGTACGACAGACGAGCTTAAGTAACATTCTGCTTCTGATGCTCCCTGTTCTGGCAATAGTAACCGGTAGCTGTGTGTTCATGAATGGAAAGCTGTGCAGGCAAATCCCAGTTGAGGTGCTCCTGCTCGCCAACAGTGATCAACATTCTCCTAGTAAGCAAGTATTCATTTTACCCACTCTATTAATTTCTGTAGGCTGGACCAAGTGGAACTCTTGCTGAGTCACTGAGGAGTATATTATGGGCGCCGCGCGCCACTTAAATGGCGCGCGCGTAATTGCTCCACAACGCCACGCGCCACTTTAGTGGCTACGTATTACGCGGATGGGCGTGGAAATATTCCGCGCATGCGTAATTCCGCGTACGCGCAATACTACGAAGAGGCATTGGCCACCCTTAACCAGACATGCGACAAGCTAGGTGTTCCCATTGCAGACCACCAGCGTGACGGCCCAACAACCTGTCTGAAGTACTTGGGCATTGAGGTGGACACTGTAGCCTCTCAATTGCGCCTGCCGCAGGGCAAGCTCCTTCGTCTCCTAGCTGAATGGGGAGACAGAAACGTCTGCGGGCGGCGGGACCTCGAATCCTTGATTGGGACCCTAAATTATGGGTGCAAGGTGGTCTGATCTGGGCGGTCCTTTCTCAGGCGCATGCTGGATCTACTGCACAGCATACCTGTGCACCCAATGCGTCCTAACCCAATATGCCTTAATCAGGCCTTCCGTTCCGACCTCATGTGGTGGTGCAAATGAATGGGGTCTTCTTCCTCTCGCCCCATTCCTGTCTCCCCCAACTACATTATTGCCAAGTTAGGGATTGCATGTGGCTGGTGTAATACCAATGTGCAATGTTGGGCAATATTGATGAGTCAAAAGTTGGTGTAATAACAAGTTACCAGGAATAGTATAGTGTTGTGTAATTGCCATGTCATGATTTGCATGTGGCTGGTGTAATATCCATGTGCAATGTTGGGCAATATTGATGAGTCAAAGGTTGGTGTATAAGAAGTTACCAGGTAGTATAGTGTTGTGTAATATTGCCAGGTCAGGATTTGCATGTGGCTGATATCGATATTATGTAAGTAGTTGCACAGCTATTGTGCAATATCCATCCGTGTGTATATAAAATCCATCCAAACTCCTAATGTCAAAGAATAAAATAAGAATGGAGTCAGAAAACGACATGCTGCAGAATAAGGAGCAACAGCCTACATCTGAGGTAAACATATTATGTTACTGAAATGTTCATCATTAAACTTCACCCTTGGTATAATTATATAGGGTAGAAATTCAGCACAAAACACCTCAAAATCTGAAAGTAGCACATCTGAACAACAGGTATGTTTAAATTGGAATTGTGTTCTTCTCATACTATTATGTATACTATGTTTAGAAGGTATTGACTCCAAAACGAAGAGTTCATCGTTCTATACAGAGTAAACTAAGAAAATCACGACTTTCAAAGAGAGCACGAAGGACAGCAACATCTACTGAACAAAGAACTGTACTCAAAATGAAGGATGTAATTTCAAAACAAATCAAACGATCGAATGCCAATGTTGAAGAAGTAATTCAAAGAAGAGAGGACGATGTTGTCAGAAAATGTATGAAAAAAGTCAATGAGAGTCACGAAGAAATATTAGAGAGAAGGAGAAAAGATACAGCAAGAAAGATAGAAAAGAAAGTCAATGAGAGTCACGAAGAAACATTAGAAAGAAGGAGAAAAGATACAACAATGAAGAAAAATGCGAGAACTAATGAGACTCCACAACAAATACTACAGAGAAGAAAGCAAAACATGCAAAGAATGATAAAGAAGAGACAAATTGCCAGTTATGATGAAATACTAATGGAAAAAAAGAAGTTTCTTGCTAGAATGACAAGAAAGAGAGCTAATGAGACTCAAGAAGAGACAGTGGAGAGAAAAGGAGAAAATACTGCCAGAATGACAAAAAAGAGAGCTAATGAGACTCAAGAAGAGACAGTGGAGAGAAAAGGAGAAAATACTGCCAGAATGAAAAGAAAAAGAGCTAATGAGACTCAAGAAGAGACAGTGGAGAGAAAAGGAGAAAATACTGCCAGAATGAAAAGAAAGAGAGCTAATGAGACTCAAGAGAGACAGTGGAGAAACAGGCGGAAAATACTGTGCCAGATGACAAGAAAAAGAGATCTAATGAGACTCAAGAAGAGACAGTGGAGAGAAAAGGAGAAAATACTGCCAAATGAAAAAGAAAGAGAGCTAATGAGACTCAAGAAGAGAACAGTGGAGAGAAAAGAGAAAATACTGCAGAATGAAAAGAAAGAGAGTCTAATGAGACTCAGAAGAACAGTGGAGAGAAAAGGAGAAAAATACTGCCAGTAGAATGAAGAAGAGAGCTAATGAGATTCAAGAAGAGACAGTGGAGAGAAAAGGAGAGAATACTGCCAGAATGAAAAGAAAGAGAGCTAATGAGACTCAAGAAGAGACAGTGGAGAGAAAAGGAGTAAATACTGCCAGAATGACAAAAAAGAGAGCTATGAGACTCAAGAAGAGACAGTGGATGGAGAACAGGGAAAATACTGCCAGAATGAAAAGAAAGAGAGCTAATGAGACTCAAGAAGAGACAGTGGAGAGAAAAGGAGAAAATACTGCCAGAATGAAAAGAAAGAGAGCTAATGAGACTCAAGAAGAGACAGTGGAGAGAAAAGGAGAAAATACTGCCAGAATGAAAAGAAGGCGAGTAAATGAGACTCAAGAAGAGACAATCAAAAGAAAGAAATTAAATAATCAAAGAATGTCCGCCCAACGTAATGAAAGTAATATGGATATAGTTATGAAAAACATTTCATTGTCAGGTCAAAGTTGGTCCAGTGTACGTTTGTACAGTCTGCCACCGATTAATGTATAAAGAAGGTGTTGTGAAAATCAAAGTGGCAAGGTATAAGAAATCTTCTTCAGAAATACTACAAAAAGTATTTGCAGTGACATTTCGTATCAAAAGCTTCAATAACCAAGGATGGATATGTAGAACTTGTGACTCGGCTCTCATGAAAGGAAAAATGCCAATTCAGGCTAAAGCAAATGGACTAACTTTAGATGAAGTCCCACAAGAATTATCTGATTTGAACTCTCTTGAATTACGTCTGATATCTATGCGTATTCCATTCATGAAAATGATTGCATTACCACGTGGACAACAACGCTCTAGTCATGGACCAGCTGTCAATATTCCTGCCAATCTCTCTTCAATTTGTGATCTTCTTCCACGACTTCCAAGTGAGTCCCAACTTATACCAATGAAATTGAAACGAAAACTAAAATATAAGGGCCACTATATGTATGAATATGTTTGCGCTGCAAAACCTTTTACTGCTCTTCGGTTGTTGAAATCACAAAGTCATATTTATGCAAATATTACAATCAATCCAAATTGGGAAGAGCAGTCAGAAGATCATCTAGTGCATTAATGCAACAAGATTGTTCTGAGGAAGATTGTGAAATTTCCATGAAGTTGCCATCAAGAGACCTTGAATCAAGCTCTTCATATGAAGGAAGCTCAAAGATAGCCCAGACCTACCAAAAATTGAAGTGTCTTGCATCAGAAAGGGGATTCATAATAAAAGATGTTCCTGCTGATGGAGATTGCCTATTTTCTTCCATTAGTGTTCAATTAGAGAGCATAGGTATCCAAAAAGTTGAAAGCAGAGATCTTCGGTCTGCTGTTGCAGATTACATGGAACAAAATCCCATGGTAACAGAAGAATTACATTATAGAAACTTTATATCAACTGCAATTGGTGGTGATGACTATAATTTCCTAAATGCTGACACTGAAGCCCCAACAGAAGAAGACGCTCATATTTCAGTAATAGAAGATGAGGACACTCGAGCTGAACTACAATGGATAAAGTATCTGGAAAGATTGAAAGAAGGTGCTTGGGGTGATCCTCTAACAGTACAAGCTTTGGCAAATATGCTCTGCGTTAATATCAATATAATCTCTACTCTCAACCCTGACATGGAACCAGTGAAATCAGTTGATGGAAGCAGTGTGGGAACAGTCAATTTAGGTCTAATTGAACAATTTCATTATGTTGCTTTAATCCATAATGAACCAGATCCGGAAGCAAATGCAACTGAGATTGCACAAGACGAAGCTGCTTTTGAACATGCGTGTAAGGTTAAAGGAGCACCATTTGAAACTTGTCTAGTTCCTGAAAACCCAGAGTTGGAGGGGGAAATTTTCTCTATAGCACCCGGTGAAGGACAAAAACCTCTTCCAATATTGACAGATCCAAAATTTGAAGAAATGTGTAATCCAGACAAATATCCTTTTGGAAAAGGAGGTTATCTTACAAAAAGATCACATCACATAACTCCTCGCAAATACTTCAACCAAAGGATTCTTGATGTTGATGGACGGTTTGCAAAGGATGTCGAATATCTCTTTGTTGCTCAGTACACAGTTGAAGCCAAACAAATCAGGGATGATGCTAGCAATTTTGTACTTCGACAGCGACATGGAATCCAGGGGACAGGACAAAGAATTAATGCTGGAATTGCCAAGAATGCAGATCGGCTTCATCAACTGATTCAAAAGGACTACGCTTTCAAGTTTATGAAGCATGTTAGGGGTTCTCCGGCATATTTCCAACAAACATTCTATAACGTACTGGGCATGATACGACAACTCAATATTCCGACTTGGTTTCTTACACTTTCAGCCGCAGATATGAAGTGGCCGGATGTGATTCAATGTATCGCATATCAGTATGGTGAAACATTCACCGAAGAGCAAGTTAAAAATATGACATTTCAAGAAAAAAGCAAATGGCTTCGATCGAATCCTGTCACAGCAGCTCGTCACTTTCATTATCGACTCAACACATTCTTTTTTCAGAAGTTTCTTAAATCTTGTGCTAACCCATTAGGAAAGCTGACAGATTATGCCATAAGAATTGAGTTTCAAGCACGTGGTTCACCACATGCACATACATTACTGTGGATTGAAGGTGCACCGAAGTATGGTGTTGATGATGATCAGGTGGTATGTGACTTCATTGACCAGTACATCACATGCAAAATTCCTTATGATGATGAAGAACTAAAGGACATGGTCTTGCTTCTTCAGCAGCACAGTCACTCCAGTTATTGCAGGAAACGAGGATCATGCCGATTTAATTTTCCTAAACCACCCAGTCCCTACACCCTAATTGCCTCAAAGGTGCATAGTGATGATGATGATTCTTCATTGGAGACAAAAAAAGCAAAGTTTACTTTGAAACAAATTCACAGAGAAGTTGAAGAAGACTGTACTCGGTCATTGTGCTCTATTCTTCAAAATGCAGGAATTTCGTTGAAGAACTACTTGGATGCTCTTCAACAGTGTTCACAAGGTACAACTATTGTTTTAGAAAAAGAGCCTTCTGAATGTAAAATCAATCCATATAATACTCATGTAATGAGAGCCTGGCAAGCAAATATGGACATTCAATTTGTTATTGACGCCTACGCATGTGTCATGTATATTGCTTCGTATATGATGAAGAACGAGAAAGGGAT